GGGGCTGTCTGGGAGGGGGCCGGGGGGAGCGGAGCTGGCTGGGGGGAGAGCAGGAGGGGAAGAATCAGCCGGCAGGGAGTGGGACTGACTCGGGCACATGCAGATCCCAGGGCGCTGCCTGTCCCGTGCACAGTCCTGGCGAAGTCCGAACAAGTCCTGCTACAGCTCCACAACATGCTTGAACAGCGTTCAGGAGCACGGACAGGGCTTCTCCTCCTCCCCAAGGTGTCACTCCTATGTCAGATGCAACCAGAGGCTCCCAGCACTGATCATGCCCCACCTGACCAGAGGCTCCCAGCGCTGATCATGCCCCACCGTCCAGCCACTCCCCCCGCCACTGCCAGGCTTCCATAGGGCATCAAGCCGGAAAACCAGAAAATACTGGACATTACACATGTCTGGTATTTTCTGATTTTTTTTTACCGGACAGAGGGCCCAAAAACCTGAGTGTCCGGTTGAATATCGGACATTTGGCAATCCTATCAGTTAACTAAATCCCATTAACTTTTAATGCTCTTTACTTAAGTTCCTCATACAAAGCTTGTATGAGGCTTACTAAGGTTGTTTGAGGTTAACAGGAATTTTACCCTACTGAATTGATCTAATGCAAATATGCAATATTAAAAACAAGGTAATACTATTTGAAGCTCTTACTTATCTGTGCTGTACATAATGTACGATATGGGGCATCTTCCATCATCATGTTTCATACCAAGATTATGACCCAACTCATGTGCTACTACTGTGGCATGACGTAGCACATTGTTATCATTAAGCTAATAAAGAGAAGCAATGTTGAAATGAATATGAAAATAAAACAGGAAAATAAAGAAATCACAAAAAATACCCAAAGCAATGGTCCTACCTACTGATTTATGTAAACAAAATCATGAGAGAGAACTAACAGCAAATCAGTGTAATTCTTTATCTTTATATTAGTTTAAGATCAAGATTTTGCCATTCTTTCTCCTACTGAGTAGTACTTCATTCCATGAATAGCTCCATTGATTTCAGTAGGGTTCCTCACAAAATACTATTCAGTATAAGGAAGGCTAGCAGAATATGGCTCTGGAAAAACCTCCACATCCTGAGTAAGGTAATATTAGCCCTCCCACAGGATTAAGGGAAGGCAAAGGCATCTTAAAGTCACTTTTACCCCACTTTCCTCAAAGTAACTTGAATAGAATTCTTGTGCATCTAAGAATTTGGGCAAGTGTGTACTGGACATACAAGTGTGAAGAGTGCTAACATTCCCATGCAGAATATATGAAAAGCTTCCATTTTGAGTTAATGGATTTAGTATTATGGGGATATGTTTTGCTACTCAATCTTGGCCTAAATAAATTAAAAAATATGGCTAAAATATAGCTTGAGATGTATCTCAATTAAGTGGACTTGTGCATGAAGGAGAATGATGTGGGAAAAGGAATTATAATGTTATCCTCAAAAATTTCTGTCTTTCTATAAGAAGCCTAACAATACCAACCATACCCCAACATAACTCTTAGCCCTTTGTGACATGGTTGAATAGGCCATTGAGGTGTCAAGGGATGTTTTACTGACTAGAGCTGTACATAAATAATTGAGACAAAGTACTATACTTACAGTGCTGATTGACCCTCCCTGGACTTGAGAGCAGATTGTACTTACAAAAGCCATTCCAACTACCCCACTAAAGGCATGTCTCCCTCTGTAACAGAACAACAGAAAATATGCACTGTTTTGAGAATGGGGTTGAAAGCTCACTGATTTCTAGTGAAAAAATATTCCTGGCTCTTAACCAAATATTATAACGAGTCAAATTTTGGTCTCATTGATGTCAATAGGAAATTTCCCACTTTCCCAAAGGATCAAGATATGGCTCTCTGATCAATATGCCTACACCAAAGTGTGTGACATAATTCTTGAAAATTATATATGTGCTGTGTTATTGTTTTTGAGAGAATACAATTAAGAATAAAGATTTAATCACACAAATGATTCCTTGTTCATCTACAATTAGAGCCAAAGTTTAAATTTGCAGTAATCCAATTTCTATTATTTATTCTCATTTGCATACATAAGCAATGTAACAAATTTGATTTACAGTCAGAGGCAAGTTTTACTAATAAACTAAAACTTACATTATAAGGTGGCTAACATCATTTCTTGATCGCTTAAGAAGATTTTTCTCTCTCCAAGAAACAAATCTATTTAGTACTTCTCCAGCTGAACCATCCATTACATTTATGTGGTTTTTATCTGACCAGATTTCTAGCCCAATCAAAACAATCTGAATGTTCAATGCACCATACATCTGAAAATACATGATGATGATTACATATATGTGAACCCAATTCAGTTGAATTCTGAAAAAATTACATAATTATTATCAGTTCAATATTATGTTCTCCAGAACAATGGTGGGGTGGAAAAGTTTATTCCATTGTGATGGGGAGGCCCAGCGCCTCACTCCAGCCCCAAGAAACCACCCGACTCAGGGGGCAGGGAGGGGCGTGCCCACGCAGCCCTACCGGGCATGCTCCCAGGAGGCCCCAGGTATAAAGGACTGCAGTCCTATTCAGTTGGGGCAAACAGCTGATGGAGCAGGAGCTAGGGCCCAACCCCCAGAGCTGCCGGCCCATCAGCCAGAGAGGGAGTCATCAGGCCTGCCGCCGCAGGGCCCAAGCAGGGCTCGGCCCCAACGTCGGAGCCACCAGCCAGCCACCTGGGACCCAGGCATCGGCCCCGCCACGGCGACCCCAGACACCGAGTTGGAAGGTGCTGCTACAGACATCGGCTAATGCCAACAGGTGGGACCACTGCCGACCAGGGGAAGGGGGTAGGAAGTGACCCAGGGCAGGGAGCCGGAGAGGCCCCGGAAGGCTCGGAGCGTTGTGGGAAGGAACCCCTGCCTAGCCAGTAGTGGGAGCCACCCGCCACTGATAGGGCCCTGGGTCCTAGGAATCATTTTGTCTCTCTGGTAGATTGTCTGGGAGTTATGGAAATTGCTTACAGCGACAGAATGGGAAATTTCACAGGCAGCAAAGAGGTTACATTTTCTGATAGCAGCTGGGGATTATGAGGGTAAACTTTGGCCAGCAGAGGATGGACTCTATGCAGTGGAAAGATCCCCCTTCACTTCGGTGAGAGCTAAATCAAGCCTTTAGTTAGATATCAATACTTCTTGCCTACACTGATTATTCCTGTATAGAATAGAGAAGCAGTATGTACCTTGTGTAGCATTCCAGTTACCATGTTGGAGAGGAGGATTAGGTCCTCTAATGCAGATGAAATATTTTTTTCTTATGAATATGTCCAGGAATTTTCAATAATTCAGAAATAGTGTACAAATATTTTGAGGCAAAGTCTGTCAGAGTTGCCAAAGATTCCAGGTATCCCTGCAGCCCTTAGGCAGCATTGGGAGGGCTGTCTAAGTTATGCCCCTAGAGCAGCCTAAGAATCAGCAGATGCAAAGTTGGCTTATAATCACCTTCCCCCCTCTTTTCTGGGCTGTGAGTTCTGTATTGTGCTTCTAAGAGTCTTGTCCAGATATTAATTATATGTCTATGTATTGACTATATTTTTCAGTTGGAATACAAACACAGAATACACTAGCTGTACATTACAATTTGTATTTCTTCTGTGCAATAAGATAAAGAAGAGACTACTGAATATCCATATGACTGAAATGACCTACCCCATCAACATAATTAATCAGCTCAATTATTTCCTTTTGCACAGCTGCAGGATCAGAATTCTTCTGTAAAAACTGTAAAATTAAATATTAGGACATCAGAGAAAAAATTAAATAATTCAATAAAATGTGTTTAAGATTAGAGAAACACATTACCCTGGAGTTATCAACAACCATAAATAGTTCCACGTAGCTTGTCTGTGGCAGCACGGCTCGTTTTTTCTGCCAGTTAGAAAATACAAGAAGTTAATATTTTAATGATCATTAAGTTAAGATTTTGATGGTTATTTGTTACCATGTAAATGCATCTATTTACAAGACTTGACAACATGGTAGCTGGATTTGGCTTCAAGTTGGTTTGCTTTCTGAGCTTTACATGTCCGCTTAAAGACCTACAGCTCAATACTTCAGTGGCAGGTAGGTTCTCAGGGATGGAGGCTTTATGGCATCTTTACATCCACTACCCTCCAGTCCTGATGCTTTACTCTATCATACAGTTTGAACAGCTTTGGTGCTGCTTTAAGTTGCATTTAACTTCCATGTTGCCAGTCCTTTATATGAGGATTTTCAAAGCCCACCAGTGTTCTAGCCATGGGGCCCTGAAATAAGGGTAAACAAAGAGCTGATGGGGTACAGCATCTTGAATGCTTCACCACAAGTCTATACCCCAGGAAATCAGCTAAGATGGTTTTATGGCCTCTTCTGGCCACTGAAGCACCCCCAAAGGAACTGTATTGTATCCAAGGATCTAAACATTTCTTAAGAGAAAATACAAACATATTTACCCTAAAAAAACCTTCCCTGCTGAAAGTACTGTGTGAAACATTCATGTATCTGAAAGAATTCGTCACATTCTTCCCATGCTGCAGGTTATCATTCAGCACACCACACAGAAAGGGATCTTGCTTAACATGTTCTAATGGATAAAACAGGTGCTCAAATGTAGCTGACGTGTTAACTGGTTCCATTCCATATCGTTTGCCATCAATGTGAAGGATTCCCCTACAATAATAAAGGTAGGGAAAAAAATCCAGTAGAATTTTCCCTCGCTTGTAAAGGTATAACATAGATGAGCAACCTACAATTGAACATGTCACTACTAAGAAATGTACATTATTACCTTATTTTTTAAAAAATATAAACAACGTTCATAATAGGCAAAAGGGAACTTGCTCCTACAGTTAAGTATCAGGAAAGGCTGAGAATTACTCAATTAACAATACTGCAGGATGGCTATGGAATGGCACTAAAGAAACTATTCTAGTCCAGACAGTAGCTTTTACCTAATATTTACTAACCTAGCCTATGTAGAAAGATCTGTGCTAGACAAGTCCTTCATTCCTCTTCTGCCCACTAATGTCCTAATTCCTGTAAGTTGCCATGAAAGAGTCATGCACAGAATAAGGATTCTGTGCAGCACATATCCAATACACAATGTATTACATCCAACCTCTGCCCTCCCCATCCCTGTGGATAGAGCCCTGTAAACCCATGGATCTCCACTTCATATCCACAGGTATCCACAGCTGCAGATGCCAGTACAGATGTCCACAGCTCATTTTTGCAGATAGAGATGTGGATGTGGCTACAAGTTTTGTATCCTTGCAGGCTCTACCTATGGAGTTGAACTACTCTAACTCTGCTGTAGAAAGTCCATTTGTAGCTGGAAGGAGGAAGTTGTAGCTGTATGTCTTCACAGAGACAATAGAACTGCCTCTGGACTAATGTTAGACCTTTCGTGGCTAAATACAGTAACTATTCTTTTACATGTCAAAGTTTGTATCCAGGGTAAGACTATAGCCAATATGTATTCATATACTGTAACAGTACCACTCTGAAGCTGCTAAATTGTTGTCCACAATCTTAGCTTTTATTTATGAGTCCCTATCTGTTATGGTTGCAAAGAAAACCTCAAAAATGTGAACTGAGTGTAATCAATGCAGAGATGTTTATGTGAGTCGACATCCTGCAGCAATCTCTCTGTTGCATTAATTTGAGTATTGTGTTAACTCAGATGCCCGGTAATAATGTATAGGTCAACATTGTTAAGACTTTTCATTTCTCATTTAAGAAAGGAGACAGAGAGGGTCACAGAACTATACAATTTACTTTGACTGATATCTTATTTTGGTGGTGCAAGCGAAGTGGGTGATGTTGTGTGAGCTCTATCACTTATATCCCACCACAAAAGAACCCAAGCCCAAGTCGCTACCAGAGTCCCTAGGAAAATGCAAGCCACACCAGGGGGAGCAAAGCTCAAGGAAGCCATGAAATCCAGGGAACACTTATATCTATACTAGCTGGAGTTACCCGGTGTTACTTGGTCCTGCTCCCTGCCGGCCGCCTGGCTCCCCCCGCCAGCCCTACTTCCTGCTGGCTGGTTCTCCTTCTCCCGATCTCCCCCGACCAGCCCCATTCCCACCGGCCACCCCATCATCTTCCCTGGCCAGCCCCACTGTCCCCGCCCCCCCCTCCACAAGCTCTGCTTCCTGACGGCTGCCCTTCCCCCGATCTCCCCCAGCCAGTCCCACTGTCCCTGACCGCCGCCCCCACCTGCTCTGCTTCCCACCGGCTGCCCCTCTCCCAATCTCCCCTGACCAGCCCTGCTTCTGGCCCCCCTCTTCCTGCCGGCCAGCCCCGCTCCCCTCCTGGCCGTTTCTCCCCTCCTCCCCAATCAAGTGTGGCCGTGTGTGTGTGTGTGTGTGTTTTTTAAGACTACCTGGTAACCATAGCCGCAGGGGGCAGGGTAGATGCCCGAGCCATTGTGTGTGTGGGGGGTGGGGCGAGTCCTGGATGGCGCTTTGGGGCCGCAGGTGGCAGGCACGTGACCTAGGGTGGGCAGGGCTGCTCCTGCAGTGCAACACGGTGGGTTATTTTTTATTTTTACAGGTTGAGATCGGGCCCGATCATGTCCAAAAGTACCTTAAAAACTTCTCCTGGAGGAAAGGTTATCCCATGGAAAGTTTGGTTGCGGTAGGTCTTATAGTATCCAAGTTATTAGAGCACAAACATACAAACATTCTCCTTTATATTTTGACTATTTGCACACACTATGTCAAGTGGAGTCTCATTCTATCAACTCACCAGCTGTCTGTATACCATACAAACACTATTTTAACTTACTGTAACAGAGCTACTCAGAGGGTTTTGGAAGATTACTTTTAAAGGCAAATTTATTAACATCACTGCAATTATTTGTAGCATGATTATAGTGTGTGGCACTCTTATGCTATATAGAAATATTAGATAGCCATGCACAGCATGTATTTATTTATTCTTTGTACTGTGGTAGTACCTGGGACTTTAAGCAGGGCATCAAAGTACTCAGCCCTATACCCTACACAGTATAATGAAAAAACAGTCCCTGACCCCAAAAATTTACAATTTAAATAAACTATGCTTTTATTCTTTGCAATTTTTACCATTACTGAGGGTGTGTCTAGACTACATGCCTCCTTCGACGGAGGCATGTAGATTAGCCAGATCGGCAGAGGGAAATGAAGCCGCGATTAAAATAATCGCGGCTT